TTTGGCTCGCCGACAGGTTTTGAGAAATCGCAGACAAATGCCTGAAATCACAGGCAAATCGCTGCTCGTGCACGTGAGTGACAATCACACAGTATGAACTATCAAAGACGCGATCTGAGAGAATCGCAGATGAGTCGCCGATGCCTGTGAGATATTTGGCGTGCTAAATATCTGGAGCTGTCGGCGATTCAAATCATGCCGTGTGAATTGAGTTTTGACTGAAAATAACATCAGCCATCGCCTACAGCCAATGAGAGAGCAGCTTTCACTTGTGTGTGTGTGTGTGTGTACCTGCTGCAGGAAAGCGGGAGGCTGGGGGAGAAGTTAAAAGCGCTCTTTTTCGGTTTATTTGGACCCACGAAATGGAGGAAAAACTAGTGGAGGTTTGACAGGACTCAGGAGCAACCGTGTCTGTTTGACGTTTCATACAGAAAGAAATTAGTTTTTTATCAACTTAAGTTGAGAAGAAATGGCTAATTCCCTTTAAACCCAGGTGAGCAAACATGTACATGTTCTACCCCATTAAAGGCTTCTTTCTCATTATGTCGTTAATAACAAAATATATACTACATGTTTTTGGCTGTGAGACGTAGTTTGGACGAAGTTGTCGGCGATTCTCCCTATAAAGTCATGCAATGTGAATGTCCATGTCGCCGATCCATCTTGCAGTGTAAACAAAGCAGCGACGAAACGCCAGCCCAGATAGTCATGCAGTGTGAAAACATCAGTGACACGACTACTTTGAAAATCATGCAGTCTGACCTCGGCATTAAGTCCACGACCGTTGGTGAAGTGCGTACAAGTGGCCGCCCGCCGTCACCGTCCTCTTCAATAGATCCAAGAGTATTTTTCAAATTAGAAGTTTTGTTTCGTTGTTTTTTAATCGTGGTTAAAATTAACCAAGCTAGCTAAATCAGCAGACTGACGTTACACATCGTTCACTGGAAGAAAATATATTTGAAAACTGAACAGAAAACCGAGAGTCACGACCAATGGTTACGACTGCAATATCATATTGCTAAACCCATAAAGCATTGCGCATTAGGCGCGCTACGGGCGCGCTTTTTCTCTAAACAACCTGATTGTTAGATTTGGATTTTAAAATTTTTTCTGGTGTTTGTGCATGAGACAAGCAGCACAAAAACAATTGACAACATTTTAACACTCCCGTCTGTATATTATGGTATATCATCATTGGTTAATAATAATATATTTAGCAAAATAATAATTTGAATAATAAAAAAAAATGTAATGTAGGGTAAATTTAGTTGCAACATACAAGAAAGAATAGATTAATTCAAATAATTCAATCTTGATTGTTTCCTAGATTAAAATAAATGCATTAGAAGATGCAAGTGGAAGATGGAATGACTGTGTATTTAAATATTTTTTTACTCGAAAAAATATTTTTATGTATTTTAAATGTGGTTCCAGAAAGGCCAAACTTATGTGGGCCACAGATCAGTTTTGAACATCTGGGCCAAATACTACATTTGACATCTGGCCCATGTCTTGTCTGCCGCCTTCAAGACGGTGCCACCTCTGCCAAACCTGGGCCATGTTTGGCCCACATGCTGTATGCCAGTGCCGGATGAATGCCTGATGTGCCAGATTTGTGCCAAATCTAGGCCAGAATTCTTTGCTACCTGGGGAGATGATCAGGGCTGTGTTGATGTGGTATTGATGGCTGTGTAGGGAGATGGTCAGGGCTGTGTTGATGTGGTATTGATGGCTGTGTTGGGAGATGGTCTGGGCTGTGTTGATTTGGTATTGATGGCAGTGTAGGGAGATGGTCCGGGCTGTGTTTATGTGGTTTTGACGACTGTGTAGGGAGATGGTCCGGGGAGGTGTGAGGTGTCTGGTCAAAGGTGTCAAATCTACAGTAGAACATATTCAGCTTGTTTGCAAGATGTTTATTGTTGTCGATGCTGGGGGACGGTATCTTGTAATTAGTAAAACCTTTTAAGCCTCTCCACACTGATGCAGGGTCATTAGCTGAAAACTGGTTTTGCAGCTTTTTGGCATAGTTTTCTTAGCCACACCAATCTCCTTTCAATGTGTTCCTGGCTTGATTGCACCAGATCCTGTCACCACTCCTGTAGGCATCCTCTCTGGCCTGACGAAGCTGTCTGAGTTTAGGTATGAACCATGGTTTATCATTGTTAAATGATAAGTAGGTGCTGGTAGGGATGCATACCTCCTTACAGAAACTAAAACCTCCTTACAGATGTATGATGTTACAGTCTCTGTGAGCTCGTCCAAGTCTGTGGCTGCAGCTTCAAAAACACTTCATTCAGTGCATTCAAAATAGGCTTGTAGGACCTGCTCTGTGTCATTGGTCTATCTCTTAACTGTCCTTATTACTGGCTAAGTAGTTTTAAGTTTTTGCCTGTATTTTGGTATAAGATAACCCAGGCAGTGGTCGGAGAGTCCTAGAGCTACTTTGGCGACAGAGCAACATGTATCCTTTATTGTGGTGTAGCAATGGTCCAAAACGTTAATCTCTCTGATGCGGCATGTAATCAGCTGTTTGAATTTAGGCAGCTCATGTGTGAGTTTTGCCTGATTAAAGTCCCCAAGTATGATAAAAACAGAGTCTGGGTGTTGTTGTTCTGTCTCTGTGATCAGATCAGCCAGCTGTTGCAGCGCAGTACTCATGTGTGCTTGCGGTGGAATGTAAACATAGACGAGAAAATTCTCTTGGTGAATGAAAAGGCTAACAGTTAATAAAAAGCACTTCCACATCAGGACAGCACATCTTCCTCAACACAGTTACATCTGTACACCACCTTCTGTTGATGTAAAAGCATGTCCCACCGCCGCGCGTTTTGCCTGTTGACTCTGTATCGCGGTCTGCTCTGTACAGCTGAAGGTCCGGTAGGTGTTATGCACTGTCCGGAATGGCTTCTTTAGCCAGGTTTCCATAAAACACAGCGCAGCAGAGTTGTTAAAGTTCTTGTTTTAGCGTGTGAGCAGAAGTAGTTTGTCCATTTTGTTAGGAAGAGAGCAGAGATTCGCCAGATGGATGCTGGGCAGCACCATTCTTAAGCCGTGCTGTCTCAGCCTGAAACAAGCGCGCCGGCACGCTTGCACGTCTTGTAGCGTTTTCACAGTGCGGCTGCTCCTCCGACTATAATGTTCCGCAAAATGCCAGGGAAATCAAAATTCAGTTCTTGATCAGTTGGTGTGCACTGCCAAATGTTCAGCAGCTCTGGTGTAACTGATCGTGTTTGATAAACATAAGACAGGATAGACTTAACAAAAACAGTGCAAACACTTGGGAGCTCCACACCACATCCACATCTGCGGCATCATCTATCTATCTATCTATCTATCTATCTATCTATCTATCTATCTATCTATCTATCTATCTATCTATCTATCTATCTATCTATCTATCTATCTATCTATATCTATCTATCTATCTATCTATCTATCTATCTATCTATCTATCTATCTATCTATCTATCTATCTATCTATCTATATTTTACACTTATTTTACTCATTTTTACGCTTATTTATTTTACAACACAATAGACATAATAAAAATACCAATAAGAATAAAAACAATAATATTAATAATAATAATATATATATATAAATTTTATATTTTTGAGAATTTTTATTAATTTTTAGACAGTCAAAAGTTTACATACATTTCCTTGGTATTATTTAGCTGTGCTTTTAAACTGTATAACTTTGGTCAAATGTTTTGGGTATCATTCCTCAAGCTTCTCACAATAGTTTGAAAGAAGCAAGCATTTTCAAATCTGCCCACATATTTTCTATAGGATTGAGTTCAAGGCTTTGTGATTAAAACATTTACATTAAAACATTAAAAACATTTAGTCTGTTGTCCTAAAAAGCACATTTTAACTAATTTGTCAGATCATGCTTAGGGTCATGCTTTGTTTGAAAAACTTATTTGTTGCCAAGTTTTCATTTCCTGGCGGATGTCTTGAGATATTGCTTCAGTATTTCTACATCATGTGCCACATTGTAATCTAGCTTTTTTGTTGATTCTGGCTTGTTGATTTTTCCCATGTTGTCACACAAGGAAGCAGTGTATTTAAGGTTTTCCTTAAATACTATTATACAGTTTTGCCTCCAATTAACTCAATATATATTACTCAATATTATTCAATTTGTACAGTATTTCCTACAATGTTTTTTTTCTGCGGAATGTCTTTTTTGTTAGCTGAAATAAAAGCAATTCTGAAGTCAATATTACTAAATTATATATATATATATATATATATATATATATATATATATATATATATATATATATTATAATTGTTTTTTATTATTATTATTGTCTTTATAACAAACCACTGCTGTCCAAAGACTTGCCTAATTGTCCTAAACATAAAAACCTACTTAATTTGATAAATTGCATTTTAAGCTGAATACTAGTATATTGCAAAATAATTAGAAAACACCTCATGTATTATTATAAATTACTTATATTACCTATATATATTATCACCATGGCAAAGGCAAAAGACATTAGTCATTAGAAATTAGTTCGTTTTTAAAATATAATATAGCTACTATATATATATATATATATATATATATATATATATATATATAGTAATTAAAGAATTTAAATTTTACAGCAGTGCATTAAATTCCATGTTTTGCACAAAGCTCCCCTCAAAAAAAGAAAAACCTACATGTATTTTTACGAAGGCTGTTATTTTACTTTTACACTTTTTTAATGGTACTGCTAAATACTTTGAACAACAATACTTAAAGTTTTGACATATTATCCCATTAAGTTAATATTTAAATTTCACAGAATATTTTACAACATTGATTACAACATTATTGGATTAAATATTCTTAAAACTTTTTTTTTTAAATCATATTTTTTAAAAACTTTTTACAGGTGGTGTGTACATCCCGTTTTTATTCCACAAATCAAACGTATGAATGTAATGTTGCTTTGACACAATCGCTATAGAAATAAAGGTCATTTGACTTGTTTTGGCAGGGTACCAAGGGCATCTCAAAACAAACTTTTAAGAGTTTGAGTTCTCTGTTGGCTGGTCAGCGGCTGCAGAAATTCAGACAGCAGACAAACCTTCAGAGTCTTCGAGACAGCCTGACACTAGAGGTCACCAGACGAGTCAAAAGCCTACAGAAGAGCTCGGGGAAACCAACACCCAACACTTTGAAACAGAGTAGGCAGATGTGTTATTTATCATGCCACCACACCACCACAAACTCATTCATCTTACTTATCCCCTTTCATGCCATTTCTGTTTGGTTACCGCTCTTCTGAACCAAGATCAGTCAAACTTGTACATTGTTTTAAAGGGGGGAAGAAAACTTCAACCCCATTGAATGAAAAAAGCCTTAGATCCAGGCAGGACTCAAAGGCGTCCGATCGGAGGGAGAAAAGCCAGCAGCCACAAACACTTCTTCCAACACCAACCCCACGGTCCAAAGCACCACCTCCAAATCAAACTCCAAAAATTCTTGCAAAAAAGAACAGGTAAATGTTCAGAAACATTTTAAAAAGAAAACATGAAATGGAATTGTGCCAAAGTTGAGGGGCAAAGCTGCTTTTAGCTATAATAAATATTTCCTCAGGCTTATCAGTGTGGGTTTAATGAGTATGTTTCTCTCTTCAGCACACCACCTTTCAGTTCTGATGAAGAGTCAGTTGAGGACACTGCTTATATTACCAGCTCAAGGGGAAATTTGTCCTCTTCTGTGCGTGTTGTTCAATCAGGATCACTGCTGAACCCTACAACCGAGCCTGATTGGACAGACAGTGAGCTGTCAGAAGATTTAGACTTACCAAAAATCTACAAAACGCGCAATCCTCAAGGTAAGCAAATGGCATAATTCTATATTTTAAATTAATTTGCTTTTGGATTGTTGCAGAAAATAAGCTTTGGGGCCCACAAATATCTATACATATTTACACATTTTCTTGATAATATTATAAATCAACAACTTTTTATATGCTTAGTGTTATTGTGAGAATTGAAAGGTTATGAAGAAGCTTACACTGTGGGTTGCTTGGTAGGAAGATCAACAACATTAAGCTTGTGACAACTCTCTTAGTCTTAAAAAATAAAATTTAAAGTCACCTAAAATCGTAAGTGGGATTACCTTTGACGTGAGAATATTAATCTGTATTCCACTTAAGCAACGTTTAGCCATTTTTACAGAAACAAATCACAATTTTTCAAATCACAATGGCCGTTAATTTTAGTTTACAACACAATGGACATATTAAAAATAATAATAATAATAATAATAACAATAATATTAAGAATAATTTATTCCTTCATTTTCTTGTTGGCTTAGTCCCTTTATTGATCCGGGGTCGCCACAGCGGAATGAACCGCCAACTTATCCAGCAAGTTTTTACATAGCTGATGCCCTTCCAGCCGCAACCCATCTCTGGGAAAAAAATAATAATAATACTTTATATATATATATATATATATATATATATATATATATATATATATATATATATATATATACAGTTGAAGTCAGAATTATTGGCCCCCCTGAATTATTAGCGTCCCTGTTTATTTTTTTTCTCCCCAATTTCTGTTTAATGGAGGGAAGATTGTTTCAGCACATTTCTAAGCATAATAGTTTTAAAAACCTATTTCTAATAACTGATTTATTTTATCTTTGCCATGATGAAAGTAAATAATATTTTACTTGATATTTTTCAAGACACTTCTATACAGCTTAAAGTGACATTTAAAGGCTTAACTAGGTTAATAAGGGGAACTAGGTAGGTTAGAGTAATTCAGTAAGTTATTGTATAATGATGGTTTGTTCTGTAGACTATCGAAAAAAATTAGCTTAAAAGGGCTAATAATATTGTCCCAAAAATAGTTTTTGAAAAATTACAAACAGTTTTTTTTCTAACCGAAATAAAACAAATAAGACTTTCTCCAGAAGAAAAAAATATTATTGGTTTCATATATATTTTACTGGTTATAAACATATGTAAAAAGCATTATATGCAAAGAAGCGGTCTACTAAGTTGTAAATAACTTTTGGGACATTCAATCATCATTCACCGTGACAGTTCTATGAAAAAAAAATTGCATTTCTTGTGACCACTAATTATTTTAATATTTTAAGGGGTGGTCCACTGCAATATTATATTGTAAACTTTTGTTGATGTGTAATGTAGCTGTGCAAATATAAACAACATCTTTGAATGTAACATGTTCATGTGAGTTAACTTAGCAAAGCTTACAGCGAACAAATTTTGGGGACTACAAAAAATTACATCCAGGTTAGTGAGATCATGAACACTTCTGGTTACGCGCATTCACCATGCACAAACACCCTGTGCAGTGCAGGGCCGTGGCCATGTTGCTGTAGTGTTATAGCAGAGAAAACTGCTATTACCACAGAGCTTTTTCTGCTTCTGTATAAGTGCTTGCAATTACATTTATTTATGTTCCAGAAAATTACAAAAAAATATATAGCTAGCATTTGACAAAGGACAGCATCCAGAATCTCTCCTAATTCAGTGCTGGATTGGTCAAAACTTATTGAAGGAGCACCTCCAACTATAAAAGAAGCTGTGGATTGTGAGCCACAACCTGTAAATGTTATTATTTGTTAAAATTGGTCTATTACATGCATAGTGTCTAGCATTAACGGTATTTTATAGCAAGGACATAAACAAGAAACGGTAAATACTGTTTGACACTGTTAGCAATTTAGCTACAAATTTAGATTCCGTCCAACCGCTATACACACCCACAATCTTCACCAGCGATGCACTGTCTCTCTATGCAACTGCTTTCCCTGCATTCTACATGTGAAATAACAAACTCGCAAAGAAAATGTGAACCTTTCATATTACTTACACATATTTATTCCGAATATATATGTGAAAGACACTTGTCAGCTGTTACTTAAGAGAAAAGGCAAGAGGTTCAGCTGTGTCATTTTTATTTTCTATCTGATTTAAGCTGCCTTCACACCAGAGTTTGAGTTTGCGAAATTCTGTCGTACGGCTCTGCAAAAAGGGACAGGAATAAACAAGATGATTTGACATTTAAAAAGCAAGCGATTGCTCCATATTTTTAATTTCTGTTTAGAGAGGTCATGTTTTGATCCTCGATTGGGCTCACACAGTCAAGTGATGCGATTTCGCAGGTCAGAGTTCACCAAGCTTGAACTTTGTTTCCGGTCTGACGCATTCGCGTATGTATGAATGGAAGTCTATGGGAGGAAAAGCCCAGTGTGACCACAGCTTTAGACTCAAACTGATATGGCTTACAGCTACTCTGACTGATAGTATTTAGAGCAGAGGCAAAGCGCAACACTTTTCCTGGTGAATTGGAGCTGATCCACTACTCACAGCACATTATGTAAGATGACCAATCAGAGTCACTTGAGGGCGTGCCTTTCGGAGGAACTGAAAATATGACAGTCGTTTTCATGTTAGCTGAGTTACAGTACATAATCAAAGTTAGATATATGAAAAAATGACATGATTTTTTTTTTTTTTGCAAATGAAGCATGAGCACACATTCATCTTATTGTCAAGAGTCAGGTTTGATTAAATCTTCTCTGTTGTTCACTTCAGCTGTTCCTCCTTTTAATCAGCGCTAGCGCACATGCATTACTCACCTGTTTCTATATGATCCTATTTGCCTCTCTATATATCTTCCCTGTCTTGTTACACTTTGTCAGATTATTGTTTTCATTAAAGCCTACGGACATTCTCTTCATTCCAGTCAGTCCAGTCCTGTTACCTGGTTAATTATTTACTTTAATTTGCTTACCTGTGTTCTGCATTGTCTCTTTCGCTGTGGAAACCCAGCTCCTCATCTGCGCTCACCAGCTCCTGCCCTTGTTCAGCTCCGAAGGAGTAAAGCTGCGGCCACACTGGGCTTTTCCTCCCATAGACTTCCATTAATACGCACACGAATGCGTCTGACCAGAAACGCAGGGTCATGCGTTAAGTTTCACAGTTTGCTGCGGTACAAAGTTCAAGCTCGGTGAACTCTGACCTGCGAAATCGCATCACTTGACTGCGAATTTCACTTGACACCAACCAAGGATCAAAACATGACCTCTCTGGACAGAAATTTAAAACATGGAGCAATCGCTCGCTTTTTTAATGCCTAATAATCTTGTTTATCCCAACCCTTTACGCAACTTCGTACGACAGAATTTCACACACACAAACTCTAGTGTGACCGCAGCTTAGGCGGATTTTCTATTGCCCATTTACCAGTCTGCATTCTCCCAAGGGTTGTTGAGAAACGGCAGCTGCCTTCGTTCGTCAATATTATTAAATAAACTCTCTATATTTAAACTGCAACCACTCTGTTTTTTTTCTCTTTTTTTTGGTTTAAATACTTATGATTTGAAAGATAGTGGCAAAAGATAAATGTTTACAATTATTATTAATTCATATTTTGAGGCTTGACTTTTCTTGTTCTATGCATGACAATATTTGGTGTAAACTGGACAGGTAAAATGTATAGAAAAAATAAATAAATCTGTACAAGACATTTATCTTTATTATCGATCTTAAAACCTCATTTTAACCTTTGTCCCTTATGTATTTCATCATATTTCAGAATTTTTTTTGTGTCAAAAAATTCAAATAAATCTTGAATTCCTATTCTTGTCGAATGAAACTTTCTGTAGCATGTAGAAAACTCACTGACTTTTATTGCAGTATTAGTCAGCTAACTTGAATGGTTTATAATTACAGGTTCTGTTGTACAAACACTGACAAGAAGTTTGGAAAGACAGCTAAGCACACCACTCAAAACTCCTGTGGGTGGGACTAGAGTTTTGCCACCATCCAGCACAACTCCTCGCCCTGCTATTGTGAAACAGCAAGCGGTAAAATAAATAAATAAAAAACTAAAATTTAAGTAATTTCCATACCTGTTGAATTCCAAAGTTAAAAAGCAACAATAAAATTAGTTTTTAAAGAAGAAGTTCACTTCATTGATGAAAATGTCCCGATAAATTACTCACTTGTTTAGTTTTTAAGGAAAACAATACAGATTTTTTTCTTCATATATAAACTCTTATGGTGTTTAGTGGTTTGAACATCCAAATTGATGTTTCAATGCAGCTTCAAAAAGCTCAGAATTATCCAAGCTATGAAATAACGACTTTATCTAACCAGTCTGTCTTTTACTTAATAAAAAATATTTATATAAATAAATATTAAATATTTATATAATAAATATATAAAGCTTGCATCCTAAAGCTAGTACAAGATGAGTTTTTGTGGTTAAAAAAAAAGATAAATGTTTTTTTTTTATGTTAAATTTAAATGTTTTAATTGTTTATTTAGTCATTCTGAAAGAGAAAAAAATCCTTTATTTGCTGTCTTTAGAATTGGAATGAAAGTTGTGTGTTTTACCCTTGTTCTAGCTTTCTGATGAAGAGAGTAATTCAGAGCTGTCATCTATAGAAGAGCTCACAGGCCGCCGGGCAGGAGGACACAAAAGTTTAGAAGTCGATAGGACATCAGGGACCAGTGCATGGAGTTCTATGACAAGCAGACAAGGATTATGGTGAAGTGTGTGGTGTAGCTTTTGAAATAAATTCAAGTTTTCACTCTGAACCCAAATCTTCTAGCAGACTTAAGAATTTACAAATGCAATTACGAAAGATCAATAATTGTTAAGGGCTTTTGCAGGCTATTGAATACATGTGTACCTGCAAATTGTAGTCAAACATCAGTTATTACTTGTTTTTGTGCTATTGTGAAAGCTTTAGGTGTTAGTGTTTATGTTAGTGCCAAACATAGTCCAGGATACAGTTATTGTTTTGCGAATATTTGTGAAGAAGTTAGTACAAATTTAGAATGAATCACTGGGTTTGTGGGTTAATGATATTTAAAAGGTAATTCAAATTTGATATAAATCTGATTCTAATACTACATAGCTTTTATCAACCATGAATTATGAGAAAAAACGTGTGGCTATAAATATAAAGCTGCTGTGTATCAGTTGTGACTTTACATTTAAAACACTGAAGTAAAATGTGGACAAAAAGTACTTAAATATAAAAGGATTTTTGCTTTACTTTTGAATGTGCTACACACAAAAGACCTGTGATTTTACACAATCAGTTTTGGTAACAGATTTGTGCACTTTCTTATTTTTTGTTCTTGATCATCTACTTGCTACTAAAATATTTAAAGTCTCATTCATGATAATTGTAAAGGTAACCATAACAATAACTATATTATCTCAGTATAAGCATGCTACATTATTATATTGCATGTCTGCTGCTTTAAATACTCAAGCTCTTAAAAAAAACATTATTTATTAAATGCCCCCTCCTTTTTTGTTTTGGAATATTATCTTTTATTGTGTAATGTCAGTGTTTATGAAGGTAAAATGTCTGCAAAGCCTTAAAGATAAACTTGGATTAAAAATAATGGAAATAATTTAATTGACTGTTGAAATGAGTCATCAGCATTTCTTTTAGTTTAACTTCTGTAACTGATCTAATTGTATATGTAACACATTTGCATAAAGCCCTAAATCTATTACTTAAGTGCCCTTTATTTGTTTACAATGAGAACAATTGCAAAAGCTCAAAAAATATGTCATTGGTTATTATTCTCAAACTGTGATTTGAATTAAACAAATAATATAAGAGAAGATGAAGGTGTTTTTAAAACATGGATACATGGATTGAAATCTGATTGGCTATCAGTGTTTTCATACAGCATATCTTTCATTTTTTAGGCAAGACATGATCATACCTGTAAGTAAAACAATGCTTATAGCTCCAGTAAAGGTAAACTCAATACCAGTACAAAGTAGAACAAAATGCTTGCCGTGTTTGATGAAGATGAAACATAATAGTTGCAACAAATGAGTTGGCTTCAAGTTCTGACCAAAAAGGGACCATGCAGACCAAAATCCCCATGATTGCATGGCTGCATGTTCTTATTTCTCGGTCAACAGAGTAAGGTTCCTTGCCATTCTTATCAGTACACATTCATCTCAAAATGAGATTAAATGTTGAAATACACCCCATTCCGTTCCTCACTCGGCATCGCACAACCTGCCTTCCTACCGCTCATTCAGCAGGGGCCTGACGATTGTTTGTCCTATTTTACACGGTGACCTAGAATGGCTTGCATCCTCATAAAGAGACATAAAGGTTCCTGGCCTTTAAATTCTGTCTGTGCCTCTAAGCTCTGATAGCCTGAGCAGCTGCAATCATTGTGGGGCCTCCATTAGCGAAGTCTGAGAAAAGAACCTGAGCTGGGCAGTGTTGGCCAAGATGAAAGACTCTCCAGGGAAAATGGTGACAAATAGGGTGCCATTTACAGCCTTTTACCCATGGTTACCTGGCTTACTTCCTCTGTAACTCTTACACACTAACCACTAGATTGATGGCTAATTGCTATTACAGCTCTGCTGGCACTAGAGGGCGCACTGTGTACAGAACAAGCGCCTTGTATCACAGCAGGAAACAAATTTGCAGAGCACTTGATAAGAGTGTTTCTTTTCATTCTCTTTTCATTCTCCGAAGCCCCAAGCGGGAATAGTTTGTTTGTACTTCTCAACAGGCCTTGAGGATTTTGCACTGAAAGGGGGCCAGTCAAGAAGAGGACAATTAGGATTTTTACCCACATTTCACACTCGAAATAAGTGTTGAAACACCCAATCCATAGTTCCTCGCAATCTTTCTGTGTCCTTGTTCTTTATCTTCTGTCCATCCCGAAGCTCTATAATGCCAGGGCTGCCGCTTTCAGCTGACAGACAGAGGATTTCAAATCCACCAAGAAGAACGCCCAGGGGCCTGTCTTCAATGAGCTGCATCCACTAATACGCAACACCAAGCAGATGATACAACATCTAGCATGGAAAGACTGGGAAATGAAGAATTTTAGTGACATTGAAATGTTTTTGTTTTTTTTTTGCTTTCAAACCCAGAAAAATCACATATGCTGGAAACTGACGTACTCCCAATTGGTGCTGGATATGGAGGCAGAGGCAGTGCACGGGATTCTGGGCCCTACTGTATGCATAGGTTTCTAAGGTAATCCACCTTAGTCCACCTAGTTTCATGGGGGTCCCAATTGGTAGAAATAGCATTCTGTGCCCCTCCCTGACCAGACTTTTCTTTTCTTTATTTTTCCTCGTATTTGCGACAGACATGTCTAAGGCTCTCTAATGTTTTAGGATGCTGGAAGAAAATAAAGACCTTTTCTCTATTACCGATAGGCAGAGTTAATGTTTTGACCCTCAGGTCAGAGCCTCGCTGATAGTAAGGTCTTAGGGTGAATTTACTTAAGTTGTGTGGCTTTTCATCTTTACCATGAAACATAAACTCACTTCTGAAATCAACAAAAACACACTGCTACATATTATTGTCCAAAAATGTTTAATGCATCCTGGAGCTGCTTTCCATCATGCAGAGATGACGAGTCACTTGACAGCATATATAGTGGAGAGTGAAGATTCCTCCAGGAAGGCCGAGGTCCCCTGCAGTTGAAGGATGGACACAAACTTTGCTGACTCCAGAGCAATTAACCAATCAGGTCTGGCAATATGGTGTGACAGAGTATGCACATCACGGGCCGCTGCGACTCACATCTGTTATGCATTGAGACTGGCCAGATCTAAATTAGAGAGCCAATTAACTCTGCTAATAGCCCTCTCCAATTTAATCTGGGAGACAATGGGGGATTGAAGACGATGCTTTATTAAAGACGGGAGCTCACACAATATCCTCTTTCTGCTACGATTCGGAGGGCCTCCACTCACTGCCTTGTTTTTGCTTCAATTAGCCCACCGCCTCCCATGATTAAGTGCCTATAATTATTTTTCAATTAAGGCTTTGATCTGCAGTGTACTGTATACAGCTTCTTGGCACGACAGGAAGAATGAGGATGAGACAGTGAATTTGTTCCCTTTCTGTTTGGCGTTGATGGGGGTGCGGGAGAGATTATGTTTGCAGTGAGGACCCTCTGGGACGGACACTTCCTCTGCGCAAGAAGCTGATGAAAGAGCCACTCAGATTTAGTTCAGGCTTTAAAGTTGGCGTTTTTCCTGAAATTTCTAGGTTTGAGTTTGTTCAAGAATATGAATCATGCTAATAAGAGGATGTGGCTCGGCGGTATATGGTGCCCATTCCTCGCAAATTGCAGGTTTGGGTTCAATCCATGGCATCTCCATGACAATACTCAAGACTTCCAGTAAATTGGACTCTCCCGATTAGCAACTAATCCTGAATACACAGCACTCGCGAACTGCGGCATTGAAGGTGATGTAACTCTCTGGAAAGTTTTATGCTTTGAACTGTAAATCGATTCGGATAAAATGTGTTGAATGTTAAGTGACAAGTAAGGGAGGATTTTGGGCCAGTGAAAAATAGCCTCTGGTCTGTGAAAAGATAAAGATACAAAAGCCTCAAGAAAAATATTTAACCAAATACGATTTATATGTTAATCACACAAATGCATTAGGTTACATATCATGCATATAATCATGAAACAACCAGTCTCAAGAAATCATACAGAGACACTTAGCTGGCTTATTTTTAGTGGCTACATACTATATGTTGATCAATACTATACCATGTCTATTGAAAATTTTCAAAAGTGAGTCTGTATCAGAATATTAGGTTTAATTTAGATTTAATTTAATATTGAAAGATGTCCTTAATTAGTCTTTGCCTTCGCAAGCTCATTTTTATTTGCACTGTGGTGTGAAAAAAAAGTAAAAGTACAAATTTTTAATGTAGTCTTATGTAAAGCTGATTTTCATGTTTTTCAAACGTTTATTTGTGTGCTTTTTGCATTTTATTAAACTACAACAAAATATAGAAGAAAAAAAACACCAATCAATACAAAACAACAATAATTGATATAAAATACAATACATAAAAACCCTAACCTATGACAGAACAACCTAACAACAGAACACAGAGGCAACACAAATGCACATGAAAGCAAAATATAATTTTGCTGGTCAGGTAATGCATAACTAAAAGTAATTATAAATTACCATTGTTCTTATATTAACAGAAAAATGCATTATCCTGACTAGTTTTATTGTCAAATAATAGCTTGGTCACATTATTAAAACATTAGATATTATAAATGGTGAATGTCAATTACACTTAATCTTTAATTACTCTATGTTATTGACAGGAGTCACTGGTTATGCGTGCATTTCTTCCAATGCACTCAATGGGCTCTATTTTGACGGTCTATGTGCAGAGCGCAAAACGCAGGGCGCAAACGCTTTCAGGGCGTGTCAGAACGCATTTTTGTCAATTTAAGCATGGGAAAGTCCGCTTTGTGCCATGGCGCATAGTCTAAAAGGGTTGAGTTTATTTTCTTAATGAGTTATACGTGTGTTTTGAGAATAAACCAATAAGAGTCTCATCTCCCATTACCTTTAAGAGCCAGCTGCGTCGCGCCACGTAAAAGTTCACTTTCGCTTTTGCTCTCGTGGATAGGGAAACCTTTACGCACAGACATCAATTAGCCTATAAATAATTAATTTGGTTTGTTAAGCGCAAAGATTTGTTTCAAAACTATTTCTAAATTCAGTTCTAATTTCTAGCAAACGAATAAATGAACAATAATAACCAAGTGTGGTCAAAATACTGAGTTATTTCCAAATCATATGCCCCATATGATCTAAAACCTGACAGGTGGACAAATCTAAGCTTGTTTTTAATAAAACAAATATAAATATGGATATAATAAATTCTTAATAATAATATAATAAATACTGCTAATAATAATAACATTATACAAAAGCAAATTGAATGAACTGAAAAAGCCTCCCAAAATGAAGAAAGTAAGGCAGTGGTTTTTGAATCTTCATGAAGGCTAGAAATTAATATGTTTTGTAATATTTCATTTATATTTATATCCTGTATATATCCTTATTTTATATATATATATATATATATATATATATATATATATATATATATATATATATATATATATATATATATATATATAAGATATTATATATTTTTCATATGTAAAGATATTTGCGTATTGCTCTGCATCTTGTTTGTAGTGTATAAGCCAGGCGCACTTTGCGCCAGACAATAGACTGACTTTGTTCTGGTCTAAAGAGCAGACTATTTACAGTTTCTCAAAATAGCAACGCGCCAAAACACGCCTGCTTTTTTAGACCAGAACGCGTATGGGCGCACATTTGAGCACAAATGCATTTGCTATTTAAACAGTGTGGCGCAACACCTCAAAATGACCCTTGCGCCGAGCTAAAAGTAGCAAAAGAATATTGCGCCGAGCCTTGTGCCACATTGCGCCGGGTGTATGATAGGGCCCAGTGTGTTTTAATATCTGTCCCCATGTTTTATCAAATACCTCCAATTAATCATTACTGATATATCTTAATCTCTCCAAAGCAAAAATGTTTATGAGATCTCTACTTAGGTATTTGCATTTTTAAGTGAAGTTTGATCTTAAACTAATTTTGAGAGGAGCATGCCCTCATGATTGACCCAGCTGACTCACATTAGCTAATCACGATTCTCCAATCC